CGGCTGGGCCCGTGAGCCATGGCCGCTGAGCCTGCGCATCCAGAGCCTGTGCTCTGCAACAGTAGAGGCCACAACAGTGAGAGGCCCGTGTACCACCAAAAAAAAAAAAACATAAAAAGAAACATGTAAAATTAATTTTAATAATATATTTTATATAGCCCAATATATCCGAAACAATATAATTTCAACATGTAATCAATATTGAAAAATCATTGATGAGATATTTTACATTCTTTTTTTAATACACTCTGCACATCTCAATTCACATGCTGATTTTCCATTGGAAATACTTGGTCTTTATTTAGATTTCATAAAATTGATAATTGAAAAACTTATTTGAAACATACCCACCTTATCTGAAATGTAATTAATTTTTTTTCAATGACTGAATCAAACATCAGTTTTTAAATTTAAATTAGATTAAAAATCCAACTCATCGGTCACACTAGCCACATTTCAAGTGCTCAGTGGCCACATATGGCTTCTGTGCTGGACAGTCTGGGTATAAAGTCATAAGCCTGGCATTCTGGTGTTCCAGCCTCATCTGCTCCCTCACCACTGTGGTTACTGGGTCTCTTGATTTTAAGGATCAGACAGAGCAGTTCAGTCTGCCAGGTGACCCCTGGAGGTTTACTAAGGATACACGTGGAAAGCAATCAAGACCTGAGACAGCTCGAAGGACCATCCAGCCCCACTCCCGTGGCCCCTCTGCCTTTCTCTCACCTTCAGCCGCCCTAACAGGAAGATCTCACTGGGTTCTGATCCTAGAGTATCCAAGCTGGGTATTTCCAGCTCAGAGGTGATTCCTGGCACAGTCACCTCTGGCAAGAGAAGCTGAACAGCCAAGTCTTAGATAGCTTTTGTCAGAAAGGAGTAGCTGGAGGCAGTGTAGCCAGTAGGTGTTATGCCATTTTGGGTCGGGAAGTGAAGTTTGTCAATGCTGAAGCCCCAGGACTGAGAACGGTGGCTTTGTGGAACAGCCTTTTCTAGTTAAGCAGATTGAGTCCTGTGCTTTGTCACCATCAACTTGAGCTCCAGAATCATCCTGCCTTCCAGCTTGCCCACAGTTTCCTCCATTTGAATCACTTGGGTGAACAGCTCTTTCTAGGAGAACGTGTGTTTTGGTTAGTGGCACCCACCATCACTGAAGCTTAAATTACGTCTTCAGTTCACCTGCTGGCCTACATGGCCCTATGGAATGAGACACAGGAAGGACCAGTTTTGATGGGGAAAAGTTCTGGAAAGATAGAAGCTTTCAAGGGAATGGGAACTAGCATGCCAGCACTGAAGAGAGAGATGGAGTGGACCCTAAGAAGAGGGGGAAGCCCATCCTTGTGAGGATGCCTAGGGCCAGCTCTGTATTAAAGCAGCCCTCCCAGCTGCCCACTGAGCCAGCTCGAGAACCCTTTTGTCTGGTGGAGGAAGATAACCTACTTATTAACACAGCATAAGCTTGCAGTAGTCATCAGGCTGTGGCCTGGCTGTGGTATCCAGGTAGATGACATAAAAACATTTTCTCCTAATGAAGTGGCAGCCATTGCAAACGTCTGACATCTGAAGTGAAAAGATTTAGCTTTGAATGCCTAGATTTTGCCACTTGGAAGCCATGTGACTCTAGGTGAGTCATTTCGTCCCACTGTTTCTCAAACTTGAATGTGTGTACAAGTCACCTGGTGATCTCATTAAAACACAGAAGCTGATTTAGCAAGTCTGGGTCAGGGCCCAAGATATTGCATTTCTAACAAGCTCCCAGGTGATGCCAAGTAGCTAGGACTTAACCTCTCTGTGCCTCAGTGGCCTCAACTGTGAAGTAAGCAGCCAGTTGTACATATATTACATCAGAGCACACATGTGCTGAGGATGCCTTCCGAGAGGGTGTGTGTGAAGCAGTAGAGCATGCCTGGGTCTCTCCTCCTTTCACAAGACTTGAGGTTGGGTGGGGCCCTCAAACTTGCCCCGTGTCCACAGCTGCCTTAAGTTGTTGCTGGGGCAACTCATGTCTTGGGAGGATATTATTGTTGACTTCTTACCTGTGGGCCTTCCAACTTTATAACCTTGGCTTATACTTCCTATAGCTCGGGTGAATTCATCAGTCTGGGGTTCAGACATGGCATTCAGTCCTGCTCGTCTCCTTTGCCCACAGGTGGTTGCCTTCGTGAAGTCTCCAGTGGGCCAGTACCTGGACAGGCATCCTTTTCTGACCCTCACCTTGCTGGTGTTTGCTGCTGTGTCAGCCGTTCCTGTTGGCTGCTTCCTGCTCCTCGTGGTGCTTACCTCCCTGGCTGCGTTTGTGGGAGTCATATTACTAGAAGGTATCCTACTCAGTTACTCTCCCCCTTGGAAAATGACTCACTTGGGATGACAGTATTTATTGGGCATCTGCCACTCTTGTTAAAGGTGCCTGTTCTTGTCAAAATCACATCGACCAAGGCAGGTTGTCAGAGTAGTTAAAACATGGGCTCTGGAGTCTATTAGAATCCCACCTCCCCCAGTGTGATTTTGGACACATTATTTACCCTCTCTGAGCCTCAAATTCCTCATATGTAAAATAGGGATATAATAATACTATCTGAGAGGGTTGTGAGGATTGAAACTTACAGTTGCATAAAGTACTTAGCACAATCCTTGGCACAGAGTAGCTTCTCCATGAATGCTAACTATTGTCATTAAACAGAACATTAAAATTCACTCCACAGATAGTTATGGAGCACCTGTTGCATGCCAGGTGCCTTGCTATGTACTGAGGTTCCCCCTTCTCCCACCTTTCCTTCTGAAGTCCCACTGCCAATTGTCAGCTTCTCCCTGAGTTGCTAAGTTAAAATTACTACGAAAGTAAATCTGATTGGCTCAGTTTGCCTTTTCAAATCAGATCACAGTCCACAAAGAGATGGTTGCCATCTGCTCAGGTGATCACCTCTGGCTCATTCTATGGCTTCCCAGAGCTAAGAGCACCCAGGGTTGCTTCCCTACCAAAGGGATTGTGGACAAGGCAGTTTACACTTGAAGAAGAAGACGGGCACGGTAGGTGGATGAGCCAAACACAGTACGGCAGAGTGGTTGTTCAGTAACTGTTGATGGATAGATGGGCGAAAGATGAATCAATATCAAAACAAAGGTAAATTTAGAAAGAAATAAGAGAGCCACTACCCTTTTGTGGTATCATACAAAGCTTTACAGGAGAGAGCACTTTAAAGATGTATAACAACTTTGTCCCAGAGTAGACAAGGAAGGGCCTTCTAGATAGGAGGAACAGCATGTGCAAAGCTGTTCCACTTTAGAGTGGTGGTTCTGCAACTTGAGTATGCATAAATCTTACTTGCTTTTTGAACATGTGGACTTTCATGTATCATCCAGAGATTGTTATTTAGTAGGTCTGGAGTGGGGTCCAGAAATGCAAATTTTCAACAAGATTCCCTAATGCATCTGATTCTGATACAGGTGGTTGTTAGCCATCCTTTGAAAAATACTGATCTAAGATTTTGTAAATCTTTATGAAAAGGCAGCACGTCTGTTTACATTCTCTACTTTCCTTCCTTTCCAGAGTCCATCCCTGAAACTGTAACTGTGGAGTACTGGGTGGGCTATTTGACAACTCGTGAGGCAAGGGAAAGGATGTCTGCCATGCAACATTTGCCATGTTATTAGTTCTGCATTGGAAAGAGGAATTTTGTTATGAGGAAGGCAAGAGAAAGTGTGCTGGGCAGACAAAATCTGCCACAGTGAGTCACATATATGATAGTCATTTAATTGTCATGTCAACACTTAGAGGTAGTTATTATTATATTCTTTTTACAGATGAGTTAAACTAAAGCTCCAAGCGGCCCAAAGTCTCACCATAAGTGACTTAACTAGGATCAAACTCAGGCGTGTCAACTATGAAAATCCATCCTCTTTCCATGGTACCTTTTATTATTTTTCTCCCATAGACCCCATGTTATAAAAATGTATTTTCTCTGCACTTATTAGATGGTAATTCATTAATATTCCCATTAAAAACTTATTTAATGGTGGGTAAAATGACCATTCAGACCTATGGTTACTGTGTGATGGTTGCCAGCCTGGGCTGTAAAGGATGTAATCAAAAGTTATGTTTAGATTTTACTTTATTTAGCCTGCATAGCCTTTATTTCCATAGGTTGTAGGTAAGTGTAAATTATAGTATTTGGTAGGCAGTTTGAAACACTGGTCATGATTTACCACCCCCATTACTGTCTTGGCTAACTCCTTCTAGAGGATTCCATTGGGAGCCCATCCCTGACCTTGAGAATGAGAGAGTTTCAAATTCAAACACCCATGGGCAAGACAGGTAACAAAAGTGAGCAAAGCAGTCCAAGAATAATACAGTTGGGAACAGTGGGGCCTGGAGGAAACTGGAAGGCCAGCAGTTGTTGCCATGCAGTGATGCTCACTTGGGTATTGAGATTGCCTCCTTTTTAAGCAATACCAGAAGTCGGGATTTTTGTGGAAAACCTCCTCACTTAAAACATCTGAGTTAACTGTTGTTTTAAACACAGTGGTGCAGGGTCTGGGGTTTTCAGTCTGTTTTAGATGAATGATTCTTTGACATGCTTTCCTCTAGGACTGGTCATCTCTGTGGGCAGCCTCTCACTGCTTTGTGTCCTCTGTGGCTTGGGCTTCGTGTCACTCATCATGTCGGGGACAATCATAGTGTCCTACATGGTAGTCTCCAGCCTCGTCAAATACTGGTTTTCTCCCAGGTAAATACATGTCAGTGCAATAATTTAATCTTTACTATTTGGGGAGATTTTCACAAGTAACACCCTAACCCTGGTCACATCATACTCAGTCTCCCAAGACAGGAGGTGCCTAACCTCTTCACATCTCTGCTTAAAAAGAGGTAAGGTTTCCTTCTCATTTTTTTTTTTTTTTTTAGTTATCAGGTAGGAATGCTTTGGTGGCAAGTAATGAAAAACCTAAGTAGATACTAGCTTAAACAAATAGGGATTTATTTTTAAACAACAAGCTGGAAATAGCCCAGTCCTGGCACAGCCTCTCTAGTGTCATCAAGGTACCAGGCACCTTCTGCCTTTCTGTGTTGCCATCCTTACCCCACTGGCTTGTCACCTCATGGCCACAAGAAAGCTGCTGCTGGCTATACCAGCTTCATTCAAGGCAGGATGAAGAGAGGAAAAAAAAATGAGTCCTCACTCACCAATTGAGTCTGACCTTTTTTGTCAAGTAACTGAAATCTTTCCCAACCAACCTCATTGGGTAGAATTTTGGCAGATAGCCACCATAAGCTGGAAGGGAGGCTGGGAAATGGAGTATAAACCCACAAGGAGAAGGGCCTTGGGAATGTGTTGGTCAGCCAAGCTCTGGTGTGTGCCATAGCTCCCCCACCTGGGGTATAAGTGTTAAGCAAGGCTGCTTGAAATTCAAAGAGAATCCATAGAGCCAGTTAAGTTAATATCAATAGTGCTACCTCCTCTCTCACCTCTGAAACCTGCCATCACTGGGATGAAAAAAGACAGACCTATTTCTCTCCCTGCCCCATCTCCCTTCTGTTAAAGATGTAAAGAAATGGTAGTTAATTAGAATTAATTAGAATTTGAATCCCAGCTATGCCATTTTTTACCTGTGTGATCTTGAACAAGCTGTTCAAGATCTCTGTTCTCAGTTTTCTTTCATTGGTAAAATAGGGCTACTCCTTGCTCTGCCTCTCTAACTGGATTGTCATGAGGACACAAACAATAATTTGGAGAAAATGCAGTATCCAAATTAGAATGGGAAAAAGGATCATAACCCCTGCCCCTAATTCAGGTATTTTGACCTCTCGGGCCCCCAGTTTCCTCATCTGTAAAGTCAGTGTAGCCCAAAATCTGGTGTGGTTGCAAGAAGCAACCAAAACTAAACCAACAAAGAACGTCATTCATTCCGCCATGTGTACTCTCAACATTGCTCTTTAAAGAGGCCTTAGAGGGCTTCCCTGGTGGCGCAGTGGTTGAGAGTCCGCCTGCCGATGCAGGGGGCGCGGGGTC